AAGGCTGAAAGGTGCTGAAGCCATCATGTAGGGTTCGCAACCTGTGACAGTATTATAAAAGGTTAAATACTTATTTATAAAGAATATATAAAAGTAAGATAAGTAAGAAAAAAAGAGAAGAAAAGAAGATAGCCTTATATAAGTAAAAGACTATCTACCTTTTTATTTATCTTTATAAGTATAAGCTAAGTCGCTATCCCACCTTTTCGCCATACCACCTTTTCGCCACCATACTTTACCTTCACTACTATTTACTTCAATCAATTTTTTCTCAATCATCTTTTGTCTTTACAACTTGGGAAAAATACTATTTAAATCACTATAGTAAGGAGCACTCAAAAATATTCACTTTATTCTAAGGAAAATATAAAAAAAGCTATCGAATAAGCTAAAAAGACTAAAAATATATTTTAAGCTTTTAAAGATTAGAGAATCTTTTATAATACTATTAAAAGTTAGATAAAGGAAAAATTATCTTATTCTAAAGTATATAATCTTAGTAAAAACTTTACTTTATTTTAAAAGATTTTTTTAATTAAATAAATTTAGCTTTAAACTAACTTAAACTTATCTTTAAGCTATTTACTTATCAAAGAGTTTGTTAGATGATTATTTTATCTTAAGAATTTAATTATATTATTTAGCTATCATTAGATAAATTGATTTTTAAAGAGAAATCTATCTTTAAAGATTTTAAGAAAGTAAAGAATTAATTATAATTAAATAAATAAAGTTATAATTATTATAATTAAAAATTAGTTTAAACTTCTTTAGATTTTTAAAATTAAGAAGATTTTTCTTTAGAATTATTATAATATAAATAAAATAAATATTATAGAAAGTAAAAAAATAATAGTTTAATAGTTAGAAAAGTTAAAAAGTTAAAAGTTATAAGTTTAAAGACTAAAGAAAGACTTTAAATTATTATTATTAAATATATTAATTTAAAAAATAAATTTTTATTATTTTTAATAATTTTTTAAAGTAAATTTTTTTAATAATAATAATTTTTAGATAATAATCTTTTAGCTTTTAAAGATTAGTATTTTACTTTCTTTTAAAATAGTTAAATGTTTAATAAAATTATTTTAGAATAATTAACTAACGTTTTTATATTTTAAATTAAGCTAACTAAGTTTAAAAAAGTTTATTTACTTATATTAAATAGTTATAAAAGTTATAAGACTAATTATAAAAGGCTAGATAGATAGTCTATTCAACTAGCTATAGTCTTAATAACGAAAACAATTCAACTAAAGAGAAAAAGAAAAAGAAAAGCAATCTCTAAAGCTACTTTTTCTTTTTTATTAAGTAATAATCTTCTTTTTCTATTGATCAATCTATATTATTCAAAATTCACTTACCTTTTTAATAACTTTTAAAGTGGTAGCTTATAGGTTTATTCTTACTATAAAAGTCTTTAACTTTTATTTCCCTTCTATTAAGAATTTTTTTTAGGATAAAGTAATTAAGCTAATTTTCATTAGGTTATTTCTTTAAAGCTTGATTAGCTTTTAAATATATTTTATTCTTTGACTATAGTCTTATATGGGTGGTGGTAGTGATTTAAGTGGTTGCTATATATATGTTAGGCTAAAAAGTGTTAAAGCTATTATATAAAAGTTCGTAATCTATAACACTAATAAGTTTATATAAAAATATTTTTAGAATAATATTTACTTATTATACTTATCTTCTTATACTTTATATATTTCTTAACTTTTTAATTTTTTAGTTTATTTTCTATTTAAGTTTTATTATAAGTTAAAAATCTTTAAACTATCTTTTTATATTAATTTTTTATCTATTAATAAATAAAACTTTCTTAAAAGCTATTCTTTTATAAGAAAAAGACTCTTTAAGTAAGAAGTATTTAAAATAGTTAGAAAGCTAGTAAATTATAATCTATAGTTATAAATAAGCTTTTAATAAGTTGTTTTATAATTTTAAGCTTTTTAAAAACTTAAAAAGCTATTTTAAAAGCTTTTAAAAAGTCTTTAAAAAGATAAAAAATATTAGAAAATATTTAAATAAGTTAGTTAAATAATTTTAAGAAGATAATTTTTACTCTTTATATTAAAAAAAAGATAATATTAATATTAAAAGTATTTAAAAAAAAAGCTTTTAAGTTTACTTTAATTTTAATAATTAGATTCTTATTTAAAAAAATAAGTAAGAATATTAATATAAAAAACTATTAATTAGCTTTTTATTAATAGTAAATTAGTAGATTAAAGATAAAAATAAATAGTTTAAAACCATTTAAAAGAAAAAAGATAGTTTTTAAGAATTTTAACACTAAGTTTTTATAAATTAAATAGATTATAAAAGCTAAAGAGGATTTAAGGAAAGAATAAGAAAAAACTTAAAAAGTAGTAATAGTAAAGATAAAAAAAGTAAAGAGATCTTAAAACTAGGACTATTTTTCGTTAAGAAATAAATACTTCTTTTAATTAAGTAGTGATTGAGGTGAGAAAAGATGGTGTGGCGAAAAGGTGGGGTAGCGACTTATATAATATAATTAACCTAAGTAGTAAAACAGTCTTTAGTAGCTTAATTTAATTATATATATAGCCTTATAAAAAAAGCAGCCAGGCTGTGATGACAGCCGGCTGCATCTCACTGGTTGTGCTGGGTCAAACCGTCCAGATGTGGTCACTTAGCAGGCCAACTGCGCTACGAATGAGAACGAGTTTTGAAGTTGGAGTTGCGATGCGAGGGAGGGGGGTTTGAAAGATGTGGAGGAGCAATGGAAATGGTTGGGCTACACTGATGCGAAAGTCTCATCACGTGCACGCACACGTCCTGATCCAGATGAGAGTGTCCGTGCACACACGTGCCTCAGACAATGACGCTAGATTTAGCTTTCTCTCTTTCACCAACCTCGTCAAAAATTCGTTCCTCACAAACCCAAACAACACCTTTGTGTGCGTCGCTCGTGAACGAACAACCACCCCGGCCTGCGGCTGAACCACATCGCATCGAATCGGACAGCTAGCATCGTGAGTCCACGGCTCGTGGCACCCGGAACCAAAAAAAAAAAGGCACAGAGAGGTCAGCGCTGTGGAAACGCCGCCCACCATGGCTCCGTTCCGTCCAGACTCTCCACACCCAGGCTCCCCACCATCTTGGCATGACTTCCCGACTACCGCTTCTCCACGCTCCGTCCACTTCGAGCAGGTGACAGTCAACGATCGAGGCAATTTCACCATGTCGTTCGGCGTAATTTCAGACGCTGCCACCAAATGTAAGCCTAGTTTGGTGTCCCACCCGTCCTATCCCTCCGTTCCCGCTGCGTCGCGTCGCATCGCGTCGCGTCGCGTCAGCACCAGCCCCAGCGTTGAGTGCTTTCACATCATTCTGCCTGACCAACCGACTGTGGCTGACTTGCTGATTGACCGACTTGCTGACGATCCTCTCTACTCCAGTCTTCACCGCACAACGTCCGTTGTCCAACCTGCAACCGGCCTAGAACGCCGTTGCTAGTGACTCTAAGGGCGTGACGGTGTATACGTCTCCCACCAAGGTCCCTATCAAGGCTGACCAGCAAGTCTCCGACGCCAAGCTACGTACTGTCCAGCGTACTGCCCACCATCCTGCCCACCATATCGTCAATACAGTCAACTGGCATCGCAACCTTCGCGCCGGCTGCCTCCTCGGTATGGCTACTCTTTGCGGCACCCTCCTCTACCTCGACCGCGGTCGCGACGCCGCGACGGCCTACATCGACCTCCTGAACAAGAAGGCCCATGCGGAGGCGGAGCTCATGAAGGGCAAGGCGGAGCTCGTGAAGGGCAAGGCAGAGCTCGTGAGGGCCGAGGCGGAGAAGATTCGAGCGGCGACGCGTGCTTCCCCGGCAGGGAAGTAGAGTTTTGCGTGGGCGTGGCGCTCAAGCAACATGTAGATGGAGTTTGATGGCGTCGAATCGCATCAGGGTGCACTAGGCTGCACCAGGCCCGGCGTGGTCTCTTCTCGATCTGTCAGATTACAATCACAACCAGGTTTCTCCCATCACAAAGAGACTGTATGGAATGGGCCTCCCATTTCCGGCTTCTCTCTCTTTCCTTACCCACTCCACTCTCTCCAGAGACAGAGCAGAACTATAGACTCGATTCACAAGCAAGGGTTCGTGGTATCGTCACCCGTGTATAAACGTGCCGTGCAGTATGATTTGACCACAAAGTGCAAACTCCACCCGTTTTGGATAATTTCCACGGCGGCTCCCTATCTCGATGAAACAAGTCCGCCACGTGTGTCCACCACCATCCCAAGAACAAGAGCAAGCGCAACAACTGCTGCTGCTGCTTCTGACCCCGTGTCGAGTCATGTCGAGTCATGCCAACCCGCCGTTGCGACGTATGGTTTGATAATATAAAGAAGTGCCCGCGTCAGTCTGTATGAGGTGCTTGCTTGTAATAAATGAACGAAATAACGAATGGATGGGTATATTCATGTAGCCGGTGAGACTTGTTCGTGCAACTCGACTGAACGGTGCTTCAATATCAAAGAGTTGAAGTAAGCCACCAGGAACGGAAGGATGCGAAATAGCTGAAAGATCCTCGACAAGCAGCGTGATTTGTTGCCACCGGCAGTCCTGCGGACAATGCGCAGGGCCATCATTCCATATCGTCCCCCGTATCCTCCACTTTACGCTTTTACTAAGGTACACTTTGGTACTTATAAGTACAGTCATCGTTTAATTTGATCGGATATAAAGGGGAAAGCCTCCCCAAATAGGAAATTGGTTTTGCACACAACTGTACAGCGACCATCTTCTCGGCGGTTTTCTCGATGTAGTTCAACACATCTTTCACCCTAGCCGTTCGAACCCATATGTTCTCCTCTTCCAGAAGGACCTCAGGGTGATCCGGGTCGGCCGGGAAAGCATATCGCCCTCGAAGATATATTGTCCCTGTCATGGGATACCGAGATCTGACGGAATCTGCAAACGTTGAAGGGTCCTGCCGCTCTTCTATCATCCGGTGAATTTCAAGTGGAAGAGATAGAGGCTTGGGGATCATTTCCTTAGTCTTTCGGCTTGATCGACTTGATCGACTTTCTATCTAGAACTTCAGGAGTAGGTCTACGAGCTCGCGGTGAGGAACACTTCCATCGCCTCATCCTGACCGCTGGCTTGGGAGACGAGTATCAGAAATGGCACAGCATCTCTTGTTACTGTTCGGTTGACAGCTTCGGCACAGCCTGGACCCATCATCGGGCCTAGATTCCTTTTCAACTCAGATTTTTTGAGCAATTCCAGATAGGAGACTAAACCACCATAGCCTTTTGTGTATACCAAGAATAGCAAAGTAAGACGAGGGCACTGCATACATTGTCCAGTAAACACCAGTGGGCCTAGCCCATCGCCCTCGCCTGAGGTATACGCCTGTGCCGGTCCGGGGCACGTGAGTCGTGGAAGTCGTAGGGCTGAGGGCGCCTAGCAATGACTTCTACCATGAGATACGACAGGATCGGATATGATTTAGTGGCTGCCCTGACGATCTCTAGGGGGTATCCCGTTCTTAAATCCTGCTCTCCGTTTTCGTTGGATGTGGTGTGTGGTGTGGCTTTGAAAGCCACGAACAATGATCTTGGCGTCACAATCGGATGTTGCTCGCGGCAAGACGGAAAGAACAACACACTGCACGTCGCAGCCGCGCTTCAGAGAAAGACACATACAGAAGGACAGAAAGCCATTTAAGACTACTCGCTTCTCGGCTGAAGCCTACGGTGGCACTCGTAGGAGGCTACAGTATATATATATCACAACGTGTGTCTACTGATAGCTTCTCCACTCTCTTACGTTTCATCGAAATGCAGAATACAAAAAGCAGGAAGGCAAGGTCGGCGAGCGTCCCGAGCCGACGAGTGCGAAAACCCATGAGTTATGAAGGTTATGAGGGCTTTGAGCTCCCTCTCGATCAACAGTCCAACCATGCGCTTCGCAGCTAATTCCATCTGTCGGCTCCTTGCGGCATGCTATTCGGCAATCCCTGCACTGCGTAAATCTTCCCCCATGATCTCAAAAATCGTCGAGGTCGTGACAAACATATCTTTCTGGAGAACCTGTTTCTACTATTATAATCGCTTTGTCGCCATGTTGGCCCTCTAGAACCTAAGGTACGCACCTCGCGTTCATTGCAGAGTTCCAGCTAACCGCGCTAGCTCTACCCTGAGAAAAGTCGCAGTAGCTGTCTGGGGGACGGTGATTTCCGACGCAGCGTGGTGGCGGAGAGCCTTGTATCTGATGCTCGTGACATGGGCGTTTTCATATCGCTTCTTGCTCAACGGATCATGAAGAGGCAAGCCCACGGCATCTAATCCCTGCTTGAACCGAATCTCCTAATCAAGTCTTGTCTAAGATAGAGATACATGACTGCACAAGAAGTGTCGAAGTGAGTAGAGCTGGCCTAAAACATGCCGCACCGTGCAGATCGGTTCAAAGGCTCGGGTCTAGACCGAGACTCTTGTAATCAGGAGAGAATGTGTTGGGCAGGCTTCTACCGATCATCGCTCATATGCTAGCGGTATTCTCTGCCTGGCTGCGTGATCCAGCGTGCTGAACCAGGCTACCCTGCTGCCGACGAAAGCGCCGCACTCAATGAAAGGGTTTCTGGCTGTTCCAGACGACTCCCTTAGATACGCACATGCAAACTCCCAATCGAATAGCCAGCTCTGCATGGGCGAGATGGAATAGGCAAACCAGATCAGCCGCCCCGCGAGCGCGCTAAGATGTATCCGATGGCAGCAAGAAAAACCTAACAGCTTCTGGAATGCACTGTACTGTACCTTGCCTACCTTGGCAAAGCTCCCTAGCGGAGGCACGGGCTGACAACTTTAAATTATTAGTGAACCCTCCTAAGCGATGCCGGGGCTAATCATGCACCTAGTAGGCAGCGCCCCACTTCATTGAGCCACTATTAATAACTACGCAATTAGTGGGTGGGTGCCCCAAATTCCCCACCTGATTTGGACGTTGCTTCCTCCATAACATCCATGGATTCTCATCTTCTCGCTGGCTGCGGGCGATGCCTTATCAACCTATTAAAGGCTCGATATCCGAGGCCTACGAGTATAGTGAATCCGAAGAGGAAGATGCTCTCAACGATCGGTACCCTACCTATTTTAGAGAAGATGCTGGAGACTATTAGGATAGGACACACAGGATATAGTTGCCTGGGCAGCTGGCCCTAGGGCGGCGCTCAATGGCGTCACAGGGGCTGGTCCAGGGCTCCCAGGTTGGCAAGTCAAGCCAGTCGCACTGTGTGTCGGGTGGCTGAGACTCCATTGCCTGGACCAAAGGATCATCAGATCTGTGCTTTCCTTCACCAGACGTTGTATTCGAGGCAGTCCGTCTCTCACATCCCGCGACAGTGTGGTAATATGCCTACAGATCTTAATCTGTGCACCAAAATTGGCCCAGGATGCGATGAAGCTATTGCATATCCTCCAGAAAGGAGCATCAACCCCAAGACTTGGGCCACTGAGCCTGACCGAGGAGAGGGCATCGGAGAGTGTTTCCGCTTGCTGCATGACCGCAGAGCACTGGCTCACTAAAGACTTCAGGTGCTGTACATCCTTGGAGGTGAATCGTTGTTGCCCTGTTCCTTTCAAGTCTTCTGTGATTTGGCTGTAGAGCCTCGGTAGAATTTGGAGGACAAGCTTAGATGACGTTTGAAAAGTGAAGAATAGTCGTTCAAACAAGCCATCTTCATTTGAATCGAATTCAGTATCGCCTCCACTGGTGGAATTCAACGTGGCAAATGATTTCTGCGAATCAGTCATTGCGGACAGGCTGCTCGTAGCGTGTCGCATCCTGTCCATATCTGGCGTTTGGATGTTTGCTACGACTTGTTGGTTGCTTGTAGATGAATGGCTTTTTGTACTGCCCGTGAGTTCAGTAGTTTTCAAAGTTTGTCGTAAGGAGTTTGAGCTGGAGTATGGCCGAGTAGTATCATGACTGGCTGCTTTGCTAGTGATAGGCTGGCGAATTGCAAGACGCAACTCTATGATGCTACTATAAAGAAGCAACAGGAAGGTGCGACAATAACGCTGGTCTCCGTTGTCGAGAATTAGATCGATGTTGCTAGTGAAATTGGAGCAGATTTGACCATATGCGTTGAGAACAGCCCTGCAAGCTTCTTGCAAGTTTTCCTTCTCGCGTGGGCCGAGGGTTCTCTGAGAAGGATGGCAATGTTTCTGTACCTCCTCTTCTAATTTCTCGAGGTAAATATTTGTGTTGTACACAATCATTTCAAGACTGGACCGCTTCGTCGTTCCCCCCTTTGTTAGATTTGCCAAGACCTGAATAATCCAGTGAATTTGAAAAACCGAGTAAAGAATCCCTTGAGCAACTTCTAAGATGGGATCAAGCATAGGGTGATCATGATGGGTAATAGGCAGGATAGAGAGTTGTCGTACGTAGAGAGGTCGATCCACAGACGGTTCCATAGGACTCGCAGGACTTGTGAGAGATCGACTACGCCGACCATCGGCTAGAGCCGAACTATAACTTAGGCCACGATAATGATGATAACTGTGTTGATTGTGAAATTGGGTCTCAGGCAAGACTTGTAGTCCTGGGGCCTTCTTAGAAACGGTGCCAACGCGTCTTGTTCGCTTCTCAGGAACCTCCCCCAGAGGCACCTGTAGGATCTTGGAATTGCTCCATAGCTTCTCATTGACAATTCTAGAGCTGGACAGGGATGACTCGGGTTGTCGAACGTCAGAACGGTGTTGCGACAAACGTCGGGAGTGCGACATTGGTGGAATGGGCGGCGGTCGAGATATAGGTGAACGGTGAGAAGGCGCACTAATACTGTTAACCTTGATGGGAAAGCGCCCCATGCCGACACGCCTTGTTAATAAACGCGGTGTTTCTCCATCATCATTCGGGTCATCCCCGTCAATATCACCCTCAACAGAGTGATTCACATTCATGGTCCTCGATTTGAAGTATTCTTTAATCCTCTCTGTGACAATCACCTCCTTGGCCTCTCGCTCTAGTAATCCCTCGTGGAACGAAATGCGTGCTTGGACTTGTAGAACTTCTTGCGGGGGAAATGTTATCGGATTTCCTTCAAACTTTAATACCTGCAGTGACACCATATCGGACAAACAGGACGGTAGCTCCTGGATTTTGTTTTTTTGGACGGCAAGAACCTTTAATGACGCTAGTTTAGAAATTGCGGAGGGGAGGATTCGGAGCTCATTCCGACCGAGATCTAGAATCTCGAGAGACTTGAGTTCACAAAGCTAAGAAAGGTCAGCTACGACGTGTCGATGACGCATTGTCAATAGGCCATATCCTACAGCTAGCGGGAAGTCTTCGATCGAATTATTCCTAGCATTAAGATATCGCAGGGACGTACAATCTGCAAACCGCGATGGGAAGGATGACAGGTTGTTGTGGGATAAGGCAAGTCTGGGAGCAAAAGACATGTTAGCCGAAGGTTACCAACAATAAGGAGGATGACGCAACCGTTCAAGTCCGTTCTTGATGATGTCAATGACCTCATCTGGTAAGCTGGATATATTTTTTCTGCTCAGGTCAATTGTAATACCTGGCGTTAGTCTATCCCCGATCCCGCTTGCGCTAGTAGCCCGAGCTTCATCCGCTCTAGCGGACATCATCGCCTCCCTCGCCATGGCAATCACACGATTCGCAGAAGGAGAGGCCGTAATTGCCACAGACCGGTCGATTTGGGCATCGCGAACGCTGGGCACTAGAGGCTGTGGGCGTTGAGACGGGAGTTGAGGCTGGCGTTGTAGGAGCCGCTGAGGAAGCCGTGGGGGGATTGTGATAGCCGGTACAGCTCGCCGAGTCTCAGGTAGTCCTTGCGCTGTGGAAGGCATGGATCTTCCTTCCTGTTCTGAAGCTTTGTTCATTGTGAAAGGATCGCTTGGTGGATAGCGATAGTGGTGATCTCAGGCCCGGGAGGTCTTAGACCAACGGTAGTTGCCCTCGACTTTTCTGACTAACTAAGGGCTTAAGTGTCCAGTATGTCCAGCTCCCCTTCATCCCTACCATCTACACGCTGGGTACGTTGGTTGGCATCATCGGCACCTCGGCCACAGCCGTCATTTACGGAGAGCTGATATGGAACCCGCTGAACATCTACATCCGCTGGCTCGAGACGGACTCGAGCGGAGGGCGGGCAGGAGCATTCTTCTGCGGCGTCGCATGGGCTATTTTGTAGATGTGTACAAACATCACCGCCAACTCTATCTCAGCAGCAAACGACCTTACGGTCCTGGCTCCGCGCTACCTGAACATCCGACGTAGATGCATCATAGCTGCCGTCGTCGGAGTGTGGGTTTTCGTTCCTTGGAGGATCATAGCCACAGCTACAAACTTCTTGACGTTCATGGGCGGGTATGCTATCTTCCTGGCGCCTGTGGCGGGCATCATCTGCGCGGACTACTGGATCGTGAAGAAGCGGAAGATTGATATCCCTGCCCTGTATGACCCCTATGGACGCTATCGGTATTGGTATGGCATCAACTGGCAGGCCATGATCGCCTTCCTTGTCGCTCTTGGACCTAACCTTCCGGGCTTGGTCTATTCTGTCGGAAGCACCATAGGAGGCTCATATATCTACATCACAGAGGGAGCCAAGCATATCTATAGCTTCGACTGGCTATTCGGGTTTGTGATGAGTGTGTTCCTGTACACGGGCTTGAGTCTTCTCTTCCCGGACCAGAATGTACTAGTTGAAGAGACCATCCGGACGCTCGAGGTCATCGATTCTAAGCTGCACGTTGATGGCGACGGGGAGAAGTCGGCGAGCGTAGGCACCACTGCCTTAGAAACCAAATCTCTAGATTAGTGTGCGAGAGTGCAAAACAATGGTGGGCGAATTAGCTTTGTGTAGACACGTATCTGAACCGCGTGGCGTCCTTTCATAGGCGAAACTAGTGTCGAGTTTCTTGATGCTGAGGAGGCTTCAAGTTGAACCTAGGAAGGAATGCAATTCTGAGTGTTGTTGCTGAAAAACGCTTGAGGAGATACGATTCTTAGAGCTCACGCATATTAAGGCTCGAGGCCGTAGGGACGCGCGGCCAAGGACCAGCGCCGAGCAGAGCCACGAGGAATTAGATAGGATAAAGCATGATAGGTGTGAAGTACCCATTGATCAAGGATAATGTAGTCTAGGGCACGGTGTATAGACTTGGAAGGGGCAATGCAGAGTCTCGGGACAACTAACAACCCGTCGTATTCACATGTGTGTTGTCTAACTGCGCACCGCGTAAGGTACTGTACACTATATCTGAGATAACTTGCAGGCTAGTCCAGAATGAGCTCCTCTACGCCAAGACAGCTGTCTCTTAGAGACACGGCCTATGTGACTCGTTACGCATTACGCTGCTGAGGGCGGAGTCATCAGAGACCCGCGTGAGCAAAATAAACAGAGAAATCCAATTCTCTGAAGAGCATGCTTGACTGTAAATCCCTAAGAGAGGTAGGGAGTTAACCTTTAATATTAATATTTCTTTATATCTTAAGATATATGCAGTTTTATAAGCTAAAATTTAAAAATATATAAGTATAGTAAATCTAAAGAGAAAGATACTCTCAACGATTGATGCCTTACCTATTTTAGGAAAGATGCTAAAGACTATTAGGATATAGAAAGTGAGACTTTGTGTCTAGAGTGGTGGTGTCTTTTCACTATAAGGGGTATATTTCACGACGTTGGGCAGTCAGTAGCTAACGTGCAACGATCACGCTAGTTTAGGCTTGGATCTCGCATGATATCCGCCTGGGGCAGAGCATGGCATATGTCTTACTAGTTGCAGGAGTTGACACAGTACCCCTCCCCTTCCCGCCCAAACGAGTCGATGAATCTAGGTTTGATAAAGAGGATCTAGCCTCATCATTACTTTCATCTATATAGCTAATTTTATCGTTAAGAATCTGGCACTATAAGTAGGTATGAATGGACGAGTGGTAACCTCTTGCTAATACAGAGGTTTGTAAGGGAAAGCCCGAGGCTTCTTATGAACTGTCTCGGGTATTTTGCTTAATACATCGTCGTACTCGATAGCTCATGTATCAAGGGTGCTGGCTATGTTGTGCTATGACTGCGGAGGTGGAAGGGCATGCAGTAGGACGCCGTGGCTGTCTTCAGCCCGGAGATGGGCACCGTCGAGCGCAAGACGCGGACCGCGGTCGGAATCCGAGCGCTAGCGCAGCTGTTTGGGAGCCCGACGAGGGCGCGTAGCGTAAGTCCGCAGAAGAGGAAGCAGCACGATGTCAAGAGAGGCCCGGAGGCGGCGGAAGACGAGCCGGAATATCGGCCGTCGTCGGGTGAGGAGGCTAGTGTCGAGATCCGCGCTGGGGAGTGCTAAACAACAACAACGACAACAACAACAACAACAATAATAATAATGGATGATGATGGCGTGGATTAAGCTTGTTGTACCTCTAGAGCTCCGTTTGAGAATACTCCGACATAGTGTAGTCGTGCTCACAGCATATCCTTTGCAACTGCGCTATACCTCTGATCTCTCTCTAACAAAGGAGTAAATACTTTCTTGAGGTCCTATGTGCCCTTCCTCTTTTGACAGCACTTTGGGACAGCTAGAGCTCTTCCGTCGAAGCTGCTGAACAAGATCATATACTTGTCGAGCTGAGCAGGCTTCTTGGTGCCAACATAAGCGGATAATTTCGTCGGAATCTAGTACAGACACATCGGGGAATTTTCCGTCCAAGAAAAGGTTGTGTACTTCGTCCCTTTCCAATCCCTCGAAAGGATGTTTGCCCGTCGCAATGAAGTACATGATAGAGCCAAGGCTGAACAGATCGTCCTGCTTTGTAGGCACTTTTCCCGGGTGCCAGTCCGGATCAGGGGCTGTATATGCCGGCGCCGGAGATACAGAAGCGGGAGATGAATCAAGAGAGGAGCCAGCGAAATCGACGATTTTGAGCCGTAGGCGACTATCGAGAAGTAAGTTGTGCGGTCCGAGGTCACAATAAATAACCCCAGCAGAGTGCAAGTATTGTAGTCCCTCGGCTACCTCTGCCATCCAATCTATTTGTTGAGAACGAGTCGTCCAAGAGATATTTGATCTGACGTATCGCTCGAGCTTGCCATTGGACATGTATTCGAGTATTAAGGTGTATTGTAGAGGATCCCAAGTCATCACTTCCAATATGCGCGGATGTTTGCCGAGTCTCTCGTAGATCTGTTTCTCGATCGACAGCTTAGAGCGGCGAAGACTCGTCTTTCCATAGTCCGTCCGAGCTGTCTTGATGATATTTCCGTATGGCAAGCGTTCTACTAACGATGTTATTCCTGCTGCGATAAATTCTCCCTTCCTGTACAATACCGCAACTTCATCCGATAGCGGTGAATTGGACTTGGGCTTTTCTTCAAACGCGTCGTTTCCATGGGGCTCAAAAAAGTGTCTGTTGGTATGCTGACTGGTTTCGAGCATCATTAAGGAAAAGATGGGATGCAGCTGCTGTGGATGGAAGTGTGGACTTTCATGATAGAGTTCGATTTGGCCAAATGAAACAAGAACATCCCATCCAAAAACAGCCTATACAAAGTAGTCCCTAAGGTAGAACTCAGCGGAGGGGTGGAAAGAGCCGCAGTAGGAAATTTAGTGGTGGGAGTTGTGGCGGCTTGGGGGAAGTACAGCGAGCCCTACAGCGGGTCTTGCTGACTAAGTGGTGACCTGTCCGTGTACAGCCCCGTCGCCCTCCCTATTGACCGCCAATGACTGTCCCTGTAACACTTTTCCTCTTCGTGCAAATTGCGGCGCAACAGTCCAATGACTTCGCGCACTTTACTCACATTCATCGCTGGGCGACGGCAAATGCACAGCGCAGTATCGCCGCTTGATTGACGTTTTTGTTCTGTTCCGCCCGCTGCTTTGTATAGATGGCGACTCTACAAGTGATCGGAGTCGCTGATTCGGCGACCAAGCAAAAAGCCTTCGAAGATGCGCGGAAAATGCAGGCATCCATCGCTAAGGAGTGTGCGGATGCCGGCAGAGAACCTCCACCTTACCAACTTTCGGAACTAATCGGCAAAGGGAGCTTCGGTCGTGTGTATAAAGCAACTGACACCGAGTCTGAATGCGTAGTGGCCATCAAGATCATCAGTATTGATCAAGGGGATAGTCTTGACCTTGATGCTGCCGATACTTTCAGCGATATCTTGAAAGAGGTCAACACCTTGAAGCTCCTCAACACCAACGGCGCCAGGAACATCAATACCATTATTGATGCTCTGCTCGTGGGTCACTCTATGTGGGTAATTACAGAACATTGTGCGGGCGGCAGTGTGGCGTCTTTGATGAGACCGACTGGAGGATTACCCGAGAAATGGATCATCCCGATCTTGCGAGAGGTTGCCGAAGCTCTCTACTGGGTACATGCGCAAGGCATCATCCACCGAGATGTCAAGTGTGCGAATGTTCTCGTCACTGATGCTGGAGGAGTTCAACTCTGCGATTTTGGCGTTGCTGGGATTATGGAGACGAAGTTCGACAAAAGAACCACGGTCACTGGTACTTTACAGTGGATGGCGCCTGAGCTCTTTGACTCCAGCGTCTCATATGGTACAGAGGTCGATATTTGGGCATTTGGATCCCTAGCATACGAAGTTGCCACGGGGTTGCCACCGAATGCCACCAGCATGATCGATATTCCACGCTTTGGCTCATACTTGAAGCAACATTGCCCTCGGCTTGAAGGAGATCGATTCTCTTCTCAGCTGAAAGATCTCGTTGCCTTCTGTATGGTGGAAGATCCGGCTCAACGACCCCCCATCGAGAATGTTCAGAAGCATCCTTACATATACAACACTCACGAAGATTACCCCGCTGCATCACTTTCGATGCTGGTAAATGCCTATAGGCTATGGGAAAAACAGGGTGGAAGCAGAAGGTCGCTGTTCTCTGCAGGTGGTGCTCAGAGACCGATAAGCTATCATCGTCCCATGTTCAGTGATGAGTGGGATTTTGCGACATCAACCGACGAAGATGAATTCACTTTCGACGACCCAGACATACAGACTGTGTATGATGCCTATGGTCCCGGGAACACTCTGCCATCTCAACAATCTCAGTCAAAGCCGCATCGTCGTCGGCCCCAGAACATCAAACCGCCTACAGCACCTCTCGAGAAGGTTTTCGACGCAAATACCCTCTCTAACTACCAAGACAATGCTCGAATCTTCTACGGTAGGGTTGATACTTCAGCGTCATACGATTTGCCTCTTCGAGACGAATCTGAACATCTCACCGTGCGAGAATCTCTTATCGATCTTGACGCATCGCTAGATGGAGGCGAGCTATCTCGCTTCACAGATATTGACACTATTAGGCCGATAGCCAAGCCACAGTCAAGCAGCTTGGCAGGATCAAACTATCGCCGAACCCAGGACTGGACGTTCCCAAGAATGGAATCTGCTTTTGTTGGTCCTGATGTATCACTAGTTCAGCCGAATGATGACATTGCATCCTTGGGTTCCCCAGCGCTTTCTAACCAGATACGGCATTCGGAACAGCTTAGTTTTGCTGACTCTGCTAGCCAAGGATCTCCGAGCAATCAATCTACTCGTCTTTCAACCCTCTCCTTGATCGACTTGGATGCTAGTCTTCCTAGCATAAGGGTGGATGACGCTCGCCCATCTACAGCCGACTCGGATGGCATGTCATCTAACTCTGATGCGGGCCAAACTCCTTTCAACTTGGAAGAGCATATGTCTAGCACTGGTGTAAGCCAGTCCAGCACCGGAGGGTCATCCGTGTACGATACGTATGGGATTTTCTCCGTCAGAGAACCATCCATCTATGTCATGGACGAGAGCTACTCGATCGTTGCCCCAGAGCAGCAAGCGGAGGTGTCTCCTTCATCCAGCATTCAAGGCGTCTCTTCTCTCGAATCAAGAGCGACTTCGGCGGAAAGACCTGATTCGCACGCAAACTCGATCTTGCCACGGCCGCCTATGCCGCCCTTCCCATCTCATAACGCTATGCTGGGGACCACTTCCCAAGACGAGCTGGAAGACGAGTTGCGTCGTATGATATCGAGTTTGAGTGAGCATCTTCACTTTACCGTTGATGTCTTGGAAACCTTGCCCATCCGTCGAACGGGGCTATCTTCTGCAAAGGGGAGGCATCCATGAAGCCTCACTGTATTTCGATTGCCCCTCGTCTACCCTCCGTTCCCTCTCATCAGTGAATTACTGGAAGTACGTCATGCTCGGTTTCACGAAATGGAGGGCGATAGGAGGCGATCAAATGTATTATGAAATCCAAGAATCGTGGGCTCGAATCTTGTATATTCAATGGCATGTAAATCGATGCAAAGATGGGCAAATGCCTCTAATACGATCTTTTCTGATCATAGCTTTGGCCAAATCACGGGTTCGAGTACGGATAGGGGACACGAGCCCAGACGAGTCTTGATGGTATGGGCGGATCCTGTACATGGGTGCGGCGAACTGTTCTACTCGAGAAGACCATATTATATGCGAGACTCTACCCAAGTCATGTCAGTCTGATGGATAGTGGTAGATGTTGGACACATCCATCGTACCTCGCCAGTAAAGGGCGTTGGTCTTGATGCTACTTCTTCAGTAGATTGGCTAGCGCTTTGTATGCATCTCTACTCAAATAATCAAACTATCTTAATGTGTGACTCTACGACACCGTGATCCAGAGACGATCGCAATGAAGTTGAACGGGCCCGTGACTGTCACGGGCAGGGCTAGTCGGCCGAATAATACTGAAGATGGCATCTTTTAATCAGGCGAAATATTCTAGTAAGGCACAGCATGCACCTCAGTACGTCAGCATCACACAGGAGAGTTCGGACGACAAGGATAGATCTCGTTAAAGCCGCTGTTTTAGATGGTTGTGTGGGGGAGTGTGGCCGTATGTGGGCCTAAGAGGCCCATTAAGCGCTTGCTGAAGCGCCGATATCACACTAATATCCTCGAACGTTTGAGCGCTCAAATACCGTGTACCTGCATATTCGTCTCTTTCAAGCTGAATTATCCCATCCCCTACGCTGTTTTGGACAAAGAGGATACGGTTGGCTGTTTTTCAATATGTTGGATTGGTTTTATACGCAAGTGACCTTTGTCGCCATTCACTCGTTAGGTTCTTGGGAAAAAATTATGTCAAATGATTCCGCTGAGCCGATAATTGCAAGATTGTGGACATTCGTAATAAGCTCTTAGCCAATTCACATCGGCAAGTGATGCCCAGGTCGGTAGAGTGCACAAGCTTTCATCCTAGTTTCTAATCGTATATGAGCGTCAGATGCCATTACATAAAGCCTAAAGATTACAGATATGTACCGCCAGGACTTTCGTAACATTGCTAGAATAGAACTTTTCCTCGGCATTGGTGTGTCAAGTCTCCTGGAGACAAGGCTTCCTGCCCCTTGGGATCTCTTGAATCAACACTGGCCATTACTGAACTAGGCATCGCGATGAGCGATTGAGCTTGACAGCCGTAGTCCAAAATTTGAGGACCTCAAGTGTTGCGGGATACGGCCCGTGAGCTTGTTAGCCAACGAAATAGCGTCGTAGCAAAAACGGTCCACGCACTGACAGACGGATAGCTCGCGGCCAATATCTGGAGGGTTAGCTAGGCTGGCAAGAACGGCCGGCGATTCGAAATGTGCCTCACTTTAGCATTAGCATATCCAGATCATCAACATGATTTACTGCGTTGAGCGCTTTCTGGAATGGTAGGAGATTGTAGGGGAAAGTATCCTATCGTAAACTCTGATTTCTTAGCATCTTTGGAGCTAGGCCTTCTGCCTTTGGTCTGACATATGCTGTAGCATCCTCCATGATGGCCGAGTTCTAAAAGCAGGAGCTTAAGATAGTATATGGTGAAGGCTAGAACCCTTTCATAGCGGTCGCTAACTTAGACTGAAAGAAGACTAGTCATACAATAGTATAGTAAGCCGTTTGAAGGTATATAGATATATATGCCAAATAACTTGCATTAATCTAAGGTATGCTAAGTTAATAAACATAGTCTACCTATCTGCTATCTTTTCATAAGTTGGTCATACTTATACTAAGATGTCAGCCAGTTATATTAGTAAGCATCGCCAAATAACTCTCTGTTACTGTTTAAGACTCGATATCTAAACTCTATAAGCTTTACTAAACAGTGGTAGTAATCGAAAAGTTAAGAACTCCATTTATATAATAGCAAACATAACGAATGATACGACATTAAGCATCGACAGTCTTTATATCCTTCTAACCCTCTTGGCTTCAATATATGCAGCAATTCTGATAAGATACTCCTCCTTCTCGAAGACTCTTAGGTATGGTATATCCGGCATCGACTTCTCTAGGAATCGGTAGAGTGGTCCCTACCTTTGCTTTGCGTTAAATATCAATAGCTTTTCCTCCAGGACTGTATCATATACAGTCTTGTTGTGCTCTTCGTACCATCGCTTGGTAGCCTGCTTGTTATAAACGTTGCCGCGAGGGGTATACTTCACCTGAGCGGCGATCATCTCGTCAAAACCGCTCCACCGCTCGCCAAAGACCCATCTTCTGAGCCAGCGTCGAGTAGCGGACGGCGGTCGAGTGTATGCCAGAGACGTCAAGTAGCCGATGGTACTGGCGTAGGATGTATACCACGCATCTACGTTGTCATAGACCGTGAGGATGACCTTGGCGCCTGGGTAGACGGCGAGGAGTTCCTGCCAGAATATCGCATAGGCACGTCTGTTACTGCCTACAGCTTATTAATGATAAATTTAAGGGGTGGCTCTAGTGGGGAGGCGCACGTCGTAGTAGTCTCTTAGGAGTGAATCCCACTCGCTCTTGCTAATAGGGGCATGTTTTGCGAATTTCCTCTCTAGGAGCTCTGCCCACTTGTATCCGTCGTCGGGACGGTCCATGAGAACTGTACGGGTATGGTAGACGTTTGGGTAGCCTAGTTGCTGTAGGGCTTGCTGCATGGCTGTTTTCGAGTTGGGGTCAGTCCATGTCTCAGCATGAAATATCATTGCCGAAGATGTTGGAAACCTACAGGATGTGCCGGTCCTCGATAAGCCCAAAACAAGAACCCTCATAGTCACTCGTCTCGGGAGGGTTTCGGTGGTCTTCTCCATACTCGACACTCCTCTTCTCTCGATTAGGTAACGGCTTTCAAGTGCCTATTGACTCCAAGAAGTCAACAAGCTTGAGATTCCTCCGGGCTCCCATGATATCATGTCACCTTTTAAGGATGCCATGTTGAGCGTTAATATTCCACATCGGCGTGAACGTCTCGTGCCCAGTGCTACCGAGACGGGTTTGACTGGGGATAACATCATATTCCACGACGTCTTCAAGCTAGTCGAGCCTTACTCAGTCCCAAGCCGAGGTCCTCGCTCACCTAAGCTTAGTCATAGGTCATTTTCAAGTATCCCACAGCTCTACACCGTTCAGTTGAAATGTACGCATTCGAACAGCCAGTGCGAGGAAGGTCCACATCTGGTGTCAGCATGTAGATGAAGTATATCGACAGACCTTGGGCCATAAGCTGGTTGACTGGCAGTCAGGGTGATAAAGTTGGTGAGACTTTATCTGACGAGATTGCGAGCTGGTCAGTGTTGTGTGTATGATATATGTATCGAATAAGTTATAAGAAATGAATATGCAGTGCCCAGATGAGAATGTTTTTCTCGGCGAATTCGGGCGACGCTCTCTCATCTTCAAAGCCGGGCAATGAGACAAAGGCACGCTGTGTATTGTCCCAGTGTGGGATTGCCAGCGTCTCAGCCAAGCGAGGAACCCTAGCAACCCATGCTGGCTCTTCCTCAAACTTCCTTGGCTGAGTCTTCCACTCGTCCATCATGTCGGCGGTGAAGATGCTTGGGGCGTGTCGAGGAAGGCCCAGCTCTATGCGTCGGTTAAAGGACAGACAAAGAATCTTGGGGACGCATGCAAGCACAGCGTATCGCTCTGGGTCTGGGTCTTTCGGATCCGGAATGTCTCGTACGGCCCACTTGTTGTGGTACCAGAATGTTTCAAGTTCGTTGCGGATCTCAAGATGCTGGTCTAGCATGATGTGCTCATAGATTCGATAGATGGCCTCCAGCGGGCTGTCCCTCTCGTAGTTTGGCCTGCGGTCGAGCAGCGGTAGCTCATATACCTCACGTTGGGCGAGCATCTGTCGCGGGGTGGGGGGAAGCTCCTTCGGGCCCCGACGCCTGAAAGGCCACCTGTCCCAAAGATGAATGCTGGGATGACAGCTCTTCATGATATGTGCGTCCTTCTGCAGATGTCTGGACGATTTGGAGATGGATTTGTGCTTGAGAATGAGCGGGCGCTTGCTCTTCAGCACTTTAGCGCTGTGTTTGTGCTGCTGGCCCAGAGCAAAAGCGGCCATGCGACACGTGATACGGACGGAGGCCGATAGGCCCAACTGGCTCTTTTCAACTTTTCAGCCAACTGGATCTCATTCCGCCTTCCGGCCAAAATTCAGCTATACTTTACTGTCAAATACTAGACTATTATACATCTTTAATCAACTCTATTTTTACTATTTATTTTCCTTAAAATAATATATTAAGGTTTCCTTATTTTCCTCCGACGCCCACGAACCCAAATGGCGAGCTGGACGCCCTCAACGACGTCATCTTCCCCGCCCTCGAGGAGGCCCTCAAGCGGCGGCAGATCCGGCTGCAGCAGCTGTACCGGACGGGGCCGAACAGCAACAATGCGGCCTTGCAACACCAGGGCGGTGCCGGCGGCGGGGCAATGGCCAACGCGCCGACCCCGAAGCAGCAGAGGGCCGAGGCTGCGCACGAGAAAATCTGCAAGCTGGTGTACGAGCTGGCGCACGTGTGCAAGGAGATCGACCACTATGACAAGGCCGAGCTTGTGGGCATGGGCAAGGACGTGGGGACCTTCCTCGAGGGCCTGCTGGAGGAGATCCTGGTCAGGGTTGAGCCTCTAGACGAGGAAGAGGCGTGAGGTAATCAGCTTGTTGGTGATTTATTAGTCTCTAGAAATAGGGGCCTCGCTTCTCAGAGCTGGCTGGGTTTCATGCGCAGGCCAGACACTGCTAGGGTCTGTTGTGATGGTGTATGTATTGAATGGATGAATGGACTGCTGGACGGATGGGGAATAGGGCAAGGCACGGCGTGTTTAGCGGCTCGTGGACATGACCTTTTGCTAGGATCACACGCCGCCGTGTGTACATCTGATACCTGGCGAGGACCGGATGGTACAGGTCAGGTGTTTTTTAATCGTGTTGTTATACACGGGTTAGGACATTATATTAAATCTCATGGTGGATTTCTGTGCGCGCTTTGCTGTGGCCGTCCTCAGCTTTCTGTGGAATCTTCCCTACGACTTGATTGACTGACAAGTACTGTAACATGTGCGTATGAGCGTATGGGTTTGAGTGTAGGCTGGTCGTCAGACTGTCTTGCTTAGGTTTCGTTACTGTGAGTGGCAGCCCCCTCTGATGTGTAATTATGTAATATAGCTGGTGAAACGCTTGCACGAGCACATCGGGTCACCCCGAATATGTCTTCTTCCCAAGCGATAAAGGCGGCCTCGCAATGGGTGTGAAAAACCTGGTCGTTATCATCACATCATAGTCAAGTATCGCACAAGCTTGAGATCCCACATACCTATCATTCGTTGCTGCCAGCTGTTCTCCAAAGACGGAAAGACATACAGCACTGTAACAGTAAGTTCCCCAGCTGACGGAGACACCCAGATGAAGTATCTTGTTGTCGCGGGAGTCGAACCCGCCCCCTCCGACAACACCATCAGCCAAATCAGCCTAAAGCATTGTCCAGGGTACACCCAACAACTTTGATTATAATCAAGCCCGAAGGCGAAGGTGTATTCACAAGCCAGAAGGTGAAAGGGTATTCATAAGCCCGAAGGCGAAAGGGTATTCGCAAGCCCGAAGGCGAAATGGAGTGACGGGGCCTTGCGGCTGTCAAAGTTGATGGATAACACCATCTTCGAGGTAGACGTTGATCAATGGTTGTGGTGGTGTTGTTTTCGTCGGAGCTGGTTCTACGATATGGTAAGCCGGGCCTTGATCTAGCACCTCACAGATCATCAGGTCCCTCCTGCCAGCCTCCGCTCCCGATATCGCGAGTCGACTGTGTTCCTCGCTACTTGTTACTACGTCCACCATCACGTCCGCCACGGCGACTCGACTGTGTGCCTGTAAGGCTCACGTCCGGCGGATAGGATAGTATCACGGGCTTGACCGGCTACGCTTCACGTAGGCTTCCTGAAGCTGTGCTGTGCATTTGTCATGTATTGTTGTTCTATGGCAAAGCTATGTCTTTCTGAGAAGTGGTGAGCTAAGTAAGAGCTAGTGTGGGGCCAGTGAAAGGCTTATGTAAGCTACGTCCTCATCCGTCCGTCCTCACAACAGTGCCCTGGGCCACACGCAGCGAAACCGGCGGCTTTTGCTTGACCGGGATTCCGTCTTCGACAAGTTGGACATCACACCTCATAGTTTGACCCGACGTGCTCTTCAGTTCGAAGGGCGCAGCTGCATTGGTTGACCATGTTCTCTCTTCGACCAGCTCCTTAGGGATCCGACGACCGTAGGATTGGAAGGTAGTGAAGTCGTCGTAACTGCCCCAACCAGGGCCGATGCCGATTGGTCGCCTCCATTGGTGGATATGGCCGGTTGAGGTCGCTGAACGCTTTTCGGTCATGTCCTTTACCGGGGTGAATGGGGCAAAGGAGAGACTCTTGGCTTGGACCTCCGGGTCGGAATTATCAGGTCCAAGTAACTGACCTGGGCGCCACTTGCCATCGGTCATGGTGGTTTCCGCAAATTCATTGGCTTGACCGAGGAAGAATGCGGTGTCCGCAACAGGATTATCGGTGGTGTTGACATCGAACCAGCGAGAACACTCTCGAACATCTTTGTACCCTGCTTTAATATTGAGGGCCGGAGCTGGAGCGTCCCAAAGGGTCCAGCCTTGCTCCTGTAGTTCGTGCGCTTTCTGCGTGTCAACTACGATGAACTCTCGTTCCGGGGTCGCTGACTTTGCCTTGTTAGACGCGATCTCCTTTGGCATTGGTTCTGGCCGTATCCTCGTCATGCAGGAGTAGGTAGCGTTAGGGTCGTCGCCCTTATGTGGCTTCTGACTCGCAGGTGGAGGGAGCTGGTGATGCTGGAGCTTTAGATTGCCCTCCGCGTCCTCGATAACCTCACTGGGGGCTGGCATGCCCAACTCCTTCCATTTCTTTCCTATCTCACGCTGGTTGGCGAAGAACGATTCCAGATAGGCTTCGGGATTTTTCTCGTCGTAGATCCAGGAGTCGGGGTACTCGCGCGTTTTATTCATGCTGGGTGACTTCATGTCCTGCACCAACGCAGTCATGTCCGTTGCTTGGACATCAAGTGAAGCTGACGTAGAAACGGGGTTATCTTGCTTCTTAGAAATAGTAGGACAGGCCGGGGCTTCCACGTTGTCTGACGGCTGAGTATCGAGTGTGTTAGCCTGGTTAAGTGACTACGAGGTCAAGGAACATACCGATGGATGCGGTGCCTTGGTCTCCTTCGCTGGCTGTGTCATTGTGATCAAGCTGCTCTGAATGTGGGAAGGTGCCGCTGATCACCGTTGAAATACGTCCTGATTCAGAATTAGGTATGATGACGTTGCTTGGAGATTTCCTCATGAGATCTTATCTGTTACTTTTTATTACGGCTGGATGAGAGTGAGGCCTGGATGTTCAGATTTTCGACCGCGTTTGGTGTTATGCTGCGATGCCTTGCAGATGGATTTTGTTTTGCAGTTCTGCTCCAAGAAGTGAGTAGGTTGGTGTTATGGCAGGTGACTCGTAGAGTGAGTGTGTCCTTTAGTGGTAAGAAAAAAAATGTCAACAGGAAATTCGAGTCGCGTTAATGCAAGCCTCTGCTAAACAAAAATTTCAACATCAACATCACCATCAACACCACCAAATCTCAGCCCACTTAACAAAATTCCAGAACTCCTCCACCATCAAGCCCAAGAACAAAAATACAATGGACTCTATCGCGCGCAACCAGCTCACCGTGGCCAACATCCGGGACCTGCGCTCTCCGGATACGCAAAGATGTCATCGCGTTCCTCCGGCCTAGCAAGCTTAAGCCGTCTCGGGCAAGCATGACTGACTCCGTCAGTATCCGCAAGACCCTGGCAATCGCGTTTTGCACCCAGACCGCCATTCTGTACCAAGGTTGCGAGTACAGGACCGTCCCTGGCAACTCACCCGGGCTCCTTTCGCCTACCAGTGTCCTCAACGACAATGGGGCCCAATGGATCGTCTTCACCACATACCGTCTTGCCGGCAGCAAGCCGTATTTCGATATCGCAACCTCAATCGACCCAAAATGGCTCGTAGTAAGCTCCTCTCTATAATTACTCGTTCTCTCGTTCCCAATCTAACAATTTACTAGGATCTGCCCTTATTCAAGGATGAGAACCTTCCGAAGAAAGGGAACGGCGCTTTTAGGCAACCCTGGGTCAAGGAGTCCCTGGATAAGTCGCGCACACAGCCAGACTAGGCACAGATTGCCCTGTCCTCGTTCCATGACGATAGGGAATGGCTGTGTGAAGAGTACAGACCGGGTATTACCACCCGGCATGAATTTCATGGCATTCGCGTGATGGGATTCGGATTTAGAATAGGTAGAGATATACGAGACTTTTACTCTCATCAAAACATCTTCAAGAGTATCTGTGCGTGCCTCCTGTACGGCTATGTTGGTATGTGCCGAGGCGGGGAAAGCTAGTTGCGCAGCAAACGCTGAAGTTGAAGCAGTGGCCAGGATCAATTGACGTCTTACTACCACAGAGCCTCAGTGGATCAAGAATACATTGTTGAAGATCAAATTTTCAAAAAAAAAAAGGGAGAAGCAGATAATGAGAAGTCGTCGTCCGATAGATCGACAGATCTGGCAGCCGATGATATGCACGTCACGGATTATCCGCTAGTGTAACGGATATTCCGAACTCGGTATCTGAGGGGATCGAAAAGGGGAAAAACTGGTGGTTAGTAAATACGGATCTAACTCTTCTTATCGATACGAAAACCAGGACGGAACACGGAAAATCCGTGACCACTGACTTGGCCGCAACGACATACCTTCGGAGTCATCTCAGCACTCCCTACCGCAGTCATATCCGGCGCTCTCTATCACAGGCAATGGGAGATTCTGAAGCGATATTTGTGGATCCACTGGTCCAGGATACGCCACCGAGAAAGAGACGAAGAGCGGCCAGGACGGCTCTTGCATGCACGGCCTGCAGGTATGTTCCCGCTCGGCGTGTTAACGGATGCATGGGAATGCTAATTGTGCCGAAGACATCGCAAGATTAGGTGTTCCGGTGACTGGCCCACGTGTGCAGCCTGTTTCAGTCGCAAATGCGACTATGTCTATCCATCACAACCGCTGATCGCCGCCCGAACACGCATCAGCCATGTTAATGGTGACGGGCTCAGCGATGATGAACATGATCCCACCATAGATGAGTATGTAGCTCTTTGTTTGAAGATACATCAATGCATACCAAACATTCACGCTCTTAGACTTCCATCACAAGATCTTCGCAGGCGTGCCATCTCCCACTTTCGAGAACACTATACAACTAGCTTGTTGTGTTTCATACCACCACAGCAGCTGATCGAAGATGATACTGGCAACAGCCTCCCGTGGCCGCTACTGCTGTGTATAATCGTACTAGCGCCAAGGTCCGTCGCCATGAACCTCAGGGATTTCAGTGTGCTCAAACTTTTTAGATCCCTACCAGACGACTTTGCATGCGGGAACCTCTCTTCATCTGCTAGTGATCATTATGCGGCACTGGCACGAAGAAGTCTCAGGCGGACCTATGAAGAACCATCTTTGACCACAGTCCAATGCTGTCTCATCCTCTGCGTCTACGATATTGGTGAAGGCTCCGAGAAAAGGGGGTGGTTGCGACTGGGACACGCCGTGAGGATGGCCCAACTGCTCCAGCTCCATAAACAAGATGCAAAACCCAGTCTCATGGACTGGGCAAACTCTCCACCGTCGACTTCAATCACCATGTCCGAATCTAAGCGTCGAACTCTTTGGTGTTGCTTTTGTCTAGAGCGGCTCCTTGCGAACGGCCGTGACAGGATAGCGACATTGGTCCCTGAAGATATCACAACCGAGCTTCCACAATCCGATGAAAACTCCATCTACGAACGGCATGAACCTGCGCACACGCTAGCCCTCTCAGAACCGAACTCTAGAGATGCATACGGCCGAGAAAGTCTTATGAGCTTGACTATTCGAATCATTAATATCCTCTCCGCGGTTATGATATGGCATGGTCGCGGTAGTCGTTACTCAGATGCACGATGTCCGTGGTTACCAACCATACCTTTCACTCTTTTAGACGATGCTCTAAGATCTTGGGAGTCAACAGTTCCCCAACACTTCAAATATATCATCCAGAATATCTTCGCAGTCATTGCCACTGGTCAAGGGCAACTTTGGTCGTTGATGTGGATGGTATATTTCCAAGCATTGGTATACCTCCACTGAGAGTACATTTCATTTACACCGACAAGAGGCTATGATCCCATAAATGGTAGGACCATCAACAAGGATCTAAATGTACCTACGTGACTAACATCAAGAACAGGACCTTGTGATGGGCCAGTCTTGGAGCCCCGCGACTTTTTGCCGCCAGATAACTTCTGGTACATATCTGCGATAGTGATGATAGAAAGCGCAAACGCGATCACGGACTTGTATCACACTATAAAGGCCCGGCAGCCTTCGGAGTCTATGTTCCCTCTCTACGGTTTCGGGATCTTTACAGCTGCGAGCGTACATGTCATGTACTCGATATTCGGATGGGAGAGCACAGGGTTGGTAAACTAGTATACTAGTATTAGTATTTACTAATACTAATACTAGAGTAGTAATACTAGAGTAGTATTTTAGTATACTAGTATACTAGTCTTAGCAAATAATATTCTATAGTAAATTTAATTATATATATAACGTACTTACATAGCGAGTGGGCCAGTAGACTAGAATAGGCCACTTTCATACGCTATACTACCTTTATATAAGTTATTTCTACCATAATAACTCAAATCAATTAAAACTATTTAGAATCCTTATCCTTAGACATTTCTATATCTAATTGATACGTTTGTATATTATAGCTAAGCTTTCTATAATTATTATAGTATCAAATACGTCGTTAGTCCTCCTTTATATAACCTTTTCCTTCATCTATTTTTATATTATCTTTAACTATAAGGTCTCTTTCTTCTTATATTTACTCTACCTTTTATTATGATAGTAATCCTTCTTATCGAAGATATATTTTTTTAGCTTTCTAACGCTTACTTAATATTTTATTTACTATCTAAAGGTCTTAGATCTTCTATTTTATTAAGGCGATTTTATATATAACCTTCTTTATACTTTATATAAAAGTATCAATCTTACTATAAATATATATTAAAAAGTTATTCTAATGATAAAAGATTTTATTTTTAATTAAAGTTATTTAAGAAGTTATTTTAATTAGATTATTTAATATTTATCTAACCTAAATAAAAGTAATATTAGACTATAAGACTTAAGATATAATTAAATAAGATAGACTTTCTAGCTAAAATATTATCTTATCTAAATTAAATAAAATAAGCTTAATTATATAAAATCTAACTTTAATGTTTATTAGAATTATAATAATATTATATATATCTTAAAATATAAAAAAAAAAGTTGTTTTTTATAATATAGATAATTTATATTTATATTATTTATTTAATTATTTAATTATATAAATTCTTTAATATACTAAAGTATCTAATATTAAATAGTTAAAGTTTATAAGAAAAATAAAAAAATATATAAAGTATAATAATACTATTTTTCTTATAATATTCTTTAAAATTTATTAAATAATAGTTTTTATAATTATTAAGAATAAAGAGATAATATTTACTTTTTATATATATCTTAATATACTTATCAAAGTATTATAACTATTTTAGACTAATCTTATCTATTGTCTAGTTATTATTATTTATATAAACTTTCTAATTCTTTAGAAAGTTATTATTA